AGGCCTGTACGGGATTTGAACCCATGACCTTTGCGGTACCGGTGCAGTGCTCTATCAACTGAGCTAACAAGCCAAGGGGGAGCTGGTCACTGTGTTGGTTCCAAATAAACCCTGAACTTAAGTAGTGTTCATTACTGCGAGGATCGCTTTCATATTCACGTCTGTAACCGCAGTTCAAATATATGACTTCCATATATTCACAACCGATGAAATATTTATTCCTTTTCTTCTATTTTCTTTCTTTTCTTTTTTTCTTTTTTTGCGATTAAAACGCATACAAAACATCCCGCGCAGTATCACTGAATTTCTTAGTGCGTGCATTCTGAGTCAGAGAAACCGAATGCTAGAAATGAGATTTATAAATGTCTTCGAGAGAGCGCAGAAGCTTCTAATCAACATATAAAAGTTCGGAATGTATGGGCTTTCTCAGTTTCCTTAAATTTTCTGTAAATTTCCAACTGCAAGTCATGTAGTTATTTAGGAACCGTGACCGGCAGTCGACCTCAATTTTGTGTCAACATCCATGGCTCTGTATTCTGAGACCAGCGTTAAGGATCACCGAACGCTAGACATGAGATTTATAAATCACGTTTGGATCACTTTGCGGTTCCTCGTCGACATATGATGGTTTGGATTGTATAGGCTCTCTCAATTTGTTGAATTTTTAGAGAAATTTCAAACTTCCATTCATTCAGTAGTTTGGGAACTTTGATCGGCTGTCGATTAGGTAACCAAAGTATACGAATATATTTATGTCAAACAAAACTAACTTTACAGTTATGGACAGAATATGGTTTCATTCTAAGCTTGAGTCACAAAATCCCCGAACCTCCTTTTTGTAAGATATTTGCCTCCCTTTTGTACCAGCTTCATGTGTTTTTTCAAGTAAGCTTTCAAGATCTTGTTCTCGTAAGTTTGTTTTATCAATCCAAATTATTGTTTTCATAAGACTCCACTTCACTAATCCCCCATTTGTATATTATCGCAGTCAATGGAGTGCTGATTTGTCCGTGAATATGAAAATTTCGGCGAAGGAAGAAGGAATTTCGTTTGTAAAATGTCGTCTGCGGTACACACTTGAGCAGCCATTTCGAATCCTTGTTTACCCATTTCTAACTACGTGACTACACACCTAAAAAGGTTTATTTCTAGGGCTGGTCATTTTATGAAGAAAAATTAACATTTAGGGAGACGAGAAGTAGCACATAGAGTAGAGGTCAAAACAAGGGAGAGGTGGATCCAAGGGTACTGTGCATCAGCATTAGAGGAAAAGAGGACATATCGGTCATTTAGAGATGAAGCATTATTTGTCTGTTCAGTAGATTTGGATTTAAAGCTTCTTTTGAATAAATAAAAAAGAGAATAAACTTACAAGTCCCATAGCAAGATGTTTTTGCTGAAAATGTCTGATGGTAATCCCTTCAACTGATTGTTGTCCAACCGCCTAACAAAAAGTCATTTAAAGGCGGTATTTAGTAGGTTACACCAATTAAGGAGAGTCAGGAAGCACATAAAATGCTTGCAAACAGGCTGTTAGCGTCAATAAAGCGATTCTTTTTTTAAGTCTGCGATAAGAAAACGAGCTATACTGTAGAACAAAATGACTTTGAGGGTTTTTTATTCGAAGCATTGAAAACAACTGAATACTAAAATTCCTCTACGGAGTAAATAGCAACACAAATCGTTGTAGGATGTAATATACTTATAAGATTATAAAAGGAAAAAAAATAGAAATGAAAACTTTAGAGCAGGCCCTGCTTTATCGCCATATATCTAGCTTTTCTTTGACATCTGCAACCTTCTAGTAGTTAGACTCCTGTTTTTACGCCAGTTTGGTAGGAATATATCGATATATCAGAAATCGCATTGTGCTGTTAATAGCAACATCAATCAACCTAAGGGTTTAGAAATTCGTCATTCATTGAAAAAATAGACTATTTTAAGATTTTACAATCTCTTACTATTTTACAACCCGGTCCCCATTTCACTGAGCCGATAGTATGTCTATCGGAAGGCTATGCAGCTGGTTGTTTACTCAACCACACATCAAAAAATTAATCCAACCACATTTAACAAGAACGGGTTATAATGCTGATAAAATATACTTGAGCTATGAGCATCCAATCATCACATTCTTAAAAAAAATAATTCCATTGAATTTTGTCTTAAAACTTTCAGATCTGAAATCAGTTTCAAACTAATCATGGGTTATCTTAACCCAGCTTTGAACAACCTCGCCCAGTAGATTAAGTAAAAGGGTCTTGGTTAACAATCAAAGTTGGTTATTGCTCTTGCGAACTTACTGTGGCCAATCTCATTAAGATGTTGCTACATATGAGTTAAATAGACGCAGTTTGTAATGCGAATTTATGAGGCTGTTAATTAATCAATGGAACGAGGAAACGAATCTTAGCTTACAGCCATCCCAGGTGAGAGATGTTACTGTGTTGAATACGCAATGGCTTTCAAAGCAGCTAATGACGAATACTTATATTTATTAACGACATATCATTGTCAGTCCCTGTTAGGATATCACTGCCCTTTTAAATTGAAATGCACACAGTACAAATTTGTTTAATCTTAGCTTACAGCCAAGCCAGGTGAGTATTGTTGCTGAAAATATCTTGTGACAAGTCGTTCAACTGGTTATTACTCAAGTCCCTGTTAGAAAAAAATTGATACAACTGTGATAAATACATACGGTTTTCAATACTCATGAAAGATACTTTTATAAAGAGATTAGAGACCGCTTTTATTCCAAAGTCTTTGTTTCACCTTCGCACGAATTTTCCGCTTCAAGAATCCATTTTTTTTTTATGTATTTCGTAGATCAAGTTATCAAACTAATGAGGATGAAAAAATGGTAATAGATTCAGCTATGGACAAATAATCAACTTTCCGCAGCTACATACGTGTATGATTGCATAGATCATGAACCAGTGATCTTTAACCATTTCTTGTTCGAAATCGTTTTACTCAAAATCGTCCGTTGTACACCAGAAATGGATAAATTGCATTATTGTTCCAACCATTTCTCGGTGAGATGGCATTCATACTATTAGACCTACTTTTTCAAAGTTATCTTTGACGTTTAAGGCTATATTTGAGCAGTCATATAACACCAAAGATAGTTCTGAATATATATAAAACAGTTAAAATATATTGGTATATATCTACGTTTTTTGAAGTTCTCATGATTTGCTTGATATTTCAGTTTCTAAGGGCTTCCTATGCATTAAGTACCAGGTATTGCGAGCAGAAACAGAAAGCGTGCTCCGCCGTTATTTTTCACATTCTACAATTTTTTTTTTCGATTCCACTTTGCCTTGACGAAGTCACGAAGTACTGCCTTATTGTTTAGCTTTGTTCTTGTTTTGTGATCCTGCTGACATGGACGTTAAAATATTTTTTAGTGTAGCCAGCCTTGAGTTGACAAGTTTTCCTTTTACATAGCTCGAGAGACTCGGGAGATTGTAGTTCGGGCTAGGAATGACCCCCGTAGCAAACCTACGTTCAAAAAATTCAATATTGAAGAATTTCCGGTCATTTACATCGACTGCACCACGAAAAGGCTGGTGTAAGACTGATTTAGAAGTCGCTCTTACTCAGTTAAGATGAAGAATAACATTCATTCGCTTCGTAATCTGCAGTTTAGTCTGCAACTTAGATAGTACCTCAACAATTGATCTCTCGCTAATACTCACAATGCTGCTGTGGTGAGGGGAATTTTCCACGGAAACGACATCAATTCTTTTCCTGCACAGTTCACACGCAACAGATTGTATGTTCCTTTCAACATGCGGCACTCACAAGGGCCTGGGCACTCTGAAAATTAGACAGTTAATATTGTTCATATTGTTAAATCGCTAAAAAAATGTGTAATATGTCACTACTGAGTTTGCCTTTCAAAGAGAAAACTAACTTATTTTATAGTATTGAGGAAGAAAAAGAAAGTAGCTTTAGAATGATAGTTTACAACGGAATGCACGAGATGCACTTTTAAACTTAGGCAAATAAATTGCGAAATTTTTCAACTTCAGAGTATCAAAAATTCATCAAACTATAGCAGAGGGGAGAGTTTCCTTCTGAGAGGCTGAACAACGCTAAATAATCAGAATAACTAAAAAATGGGTCTCAGGTTCATACGTGAGAAAAGACTAATGTTTCTATTGCGCGAATTAAAAAGTGGATATGATGAAATGCTGCTTACAAACGGTATGACAAAATTAATCAAGAAAAATTAGTTCAAAAAATTGAAAACTAAAAATTACCAAAACTAATCAAAACAAATGATCTCTTTAACCAAGACAGAATTTCTCCCCACAATATCCATACAATTTCAAGCGGACAAGTGATGATAATAAAGAGAGATATCAATAAAGGGGTTATTAGTTGATCCAGTAACAAATTCTCAGAACTAAGATCATAGTAACTGTATCGCAGTTAGTAAATAGAATTACTAGTGAGATCTTGGAAGTGAAAGAGTTAATTGAAACAAACTTTGTTAAATAAACATCGTGCAAAAATCCTCACTGGTCGGAGGCAGACCATTTGGCAATTTACAAAGCGGGGAAAACCGATAAACAAATCCAGTGAGTAGCAGGGTGGATAGCTTAAACCCAGACCACCAGATTACAGTCTTTGTACCATAACTACAAGGCCACTCTCCAAACTTGCCTCTTTCCAAACAAAGATTGTCACTTTGATAGATTTGATCAAAGAAAGCCTAATCTGAAAGAAGAACTGTCTAACATATTGATAATCTATCGCAGTCTAGAAGAACGGGGCAAATTACGGGAGCGACTACACGAGGGCGGCGAACCGTGGAGGAGAGATACTAAGAATTAACAAGATGCAAATAAATTAATCAAATAGTATACAGAGTTAGGCATCCAATTAAAAAAAGTGATATAGGTTCCATTACACTGGTGTAAGAAATAAAACTCACCTTCAATGCTGAGGCCGATTTCGCTCCTTGATACGTTATTATCTCTTCGTACCTCACAGCTGTAATTCACATTCTTTTCTGTAGCTACAAGCTGATATCTTACACTGGTACTATTTTGAACAACAACACCATTTTTTCTCCATACAATGTATGGAGCTGGCGCACCTTCCACCGGGCACCACAGGTTGGAGGTTCTGTTCGAAAATACAGTCTGTGTCTTGGGTACTTGGATCATGGTGGGTGTGGCTACATTAGGCAATTGATTAAAAAGAACACATATTATGTATCATACAGAACAAGCAAACCGCAGGCATAATATGTGTGGTAAATACATTGTGTATGGACAACCGTTTTTACTCCAAAGTCACGGAGGACTTCTGTCGGTCTCGTTCTTAGTCTGTTTCTCTTTGTCTCTATCTGTGGCTGTTCGTCTGTCTGGTTGTATACCTGATAAAAAGCTACTTAATAAGGGAATAAATACCGCCATATGTGAAATAAAACGTAATAGTAATGTAAGCCGACGTTACATGTCCTGAATAAAAAATTGTTATGTCCTGAAATTACAGTTGAATTGAAAGACTCTAACCAAGTGCCTTAACGGTGATTAACTTAGCAAGAAATATCTTGCCTGTTTGATTGAAGGATTTTTCCGAATATTCTGCACTCAAATAATGTCTGTTATCAGGGAAAAAGCCCAACCACAAATACCGTCCACTGGATCGCACTACAGTAGTTTTGTGATCTCCACAGAATACACCAAGAACGTTGGCTGACCGATTATTGCCGTCGCGAATCTCAAGATAGTTATCCTGTAGACATGGTCGTGGATTCCACCAGGTGCTGCGCATGGTAAACTTTAGCTCCACGTAGTGTCCTTTTGGAGCTGAGAGAACACGTGTACTATCAAACCAAGGAACTCTCTTCCATCCTTTTACTTGTTGAGGATATTTCATTAAAACTACAGAAAATGCAACAAGTTAATTACTTTGCTTATAAAAAAGGAAAATTTTGATAGATATGGTAGGTGAAGGCTTAATGGTATATACCAAGAGAAAGAAAAAGTCTGCAGTTTTACATAACAAGGGCCGCCATTTTAGACCTCAGCTGATCACTGTCTTACAAGTATCACTAGACCACTAATCAGATATCAGATCAATAAGCTTTAAAACATCTATCGCACGACTGCAAAAAAATTCTCATTCAGAGCTCGAGTTCAACTGGCTTTAGCTAGCTATTACAAGACTGAGTCTTTCATTCCAACCAAAAACTTACTAACGCTTTACATTTGCAGTTAGTTTCACCGAGAAAAGTGTTTTAGAAGATAAACGAAAGTGGTTTTATTAATGAATTAGAGGAATAATTTATTGACGTCATCTCATTCTAGCACTTTACTTTGCAGTTTGATTATATAAGGTAAATGCAGTGGCAATGTCTTTCACAGGTTCAGTCTCGAGCTCAAAGTGGGACTAAGTAAACGTTTCGGACCACTTTCTCTTACCACCGAACAAGCATGCACCACATGTTGCATGCCTAGAAGCAGTTTGATATTACACGCGGGTATGAGAAGTTTTCACCCCACATGATTATGACATTACATTTAAGCACTGGCGCATATTGCAGTTCAAGAAAGCCTGACAAAACAATTGCCAACAGACACTCATGCCCACTTCGCGGTTTTTATCGTCGTTCTATTCATCCATTTAACCTTACACTCTCCTCCTTTCCTCTCCTCTTTTCTTCTCTTTACTAGCCCTTTCACGGGCCTCCCTAAGCATCCTACCCTACCTCCCCTCCCACATTACCCACAGTGGGCTCCCATTCCCTCCCAAATGTCAACAAATGCAATATTTATCATTTTAGTAAACACTTTCGACAACAGTTTTGAACAACTGAAGGGCTTACCGAAAAGGAGGATGAAACTCCACTTAGCCACTGAGGGTACCATCATGACGTGTTTCAGTTTGTTTTCTGCAGAAGAAAAGTTAATGTGTCTCAATTTGTTTCTTTCATTTTTTTCATCAAATTAGGTTAATAAATTGAATCTTTTCGAAGCAGCTCGATGTTTTATACACAAGTTTCTGGAGTAAACTCTTGAGGTTTTAATGAATTTGTCTCCATCGGCCACAGAACAAACGTATCAGTCGAAGTGAAACAGAAAAAACCTCAAAGACTTTCTTAGCACTTGCTGGAAAGTTGAATTTAAAAAAAAGATAGTCATTGTTTAACTCTGCTGAAAATTAAGATATTGTTTTGCCATTGCTTATCAACAGTACTTTTCATCACCTGCATTAAGCATGCAATCGAAAGAAAAAAACTCCTTTTTGTCCTAGAACGTTCCCCTTTGTAATTTAGAATAATAAAAAGAAGATTGTGTTAGTTGCCTTATGACTCATGAGAAAATTAAAAAAATACGTCAAAACTAATAAATACAGCCACCCAGGAACCAATGGACTCTTTACTCATTGTTCAGTCATGCACAGCTAAAATTCACCTACTCTAAAAATGGCAATGTATGTCAAGACCTGGTAAAAGGAAAGGAGTAACTTTGTCGTCTTGTCTGATAACTACTGTTCATACTTCGTAGAACATTTGAATATTGTGATAAAAATTTTGGTTTATTCTCAAATCATAAACAGGATATTCAACTTTACATTAAACTTTTAGATAGGTTTAACTCCCGAAAAATTTCAATTCGTTCATGCATCTTACACATTGATAATTTTTTTTCAACATTTTTGTGCGTGTTATTCACAAGAGGGAAAAAATTATGTAAAACAGGGAAAAAATTTAACAGTTTATTTAATAATACTGCTGTCATGGATTGAGCACATATCCTGATGCATCAAAAATGGACAATTTCATATAAAACCGAGCTAATTCTATTTGAAGCATTATCTAAGTGAGAATGCAGGCATCAGTTTCTGGCCAATAAGTTGCATTTCATACATAAACTTTACTTCTTTTCAGAGTGGCTTGTAGCGTAGTGTTAGCGTAGTCTCCGACTTTCAAGTCGGAGACTACGCTAAGATCTCAGTGCGACCGAAGGACGCTGTCGACCCGTCTACACAAGATGGCGTCGTTTACAGGATTCCCTGTGAATGCGGCAAGGTATACATCGGAGCGACTGGAAGACCTATATAAGACAGAATTAAGGAGCACGATTGAGACATCCGACATGCCCGTACCAGACCTCCGCCGTTTCAGAGTATGCCCACAACACCGGACACAAGCCACTCTGGAACGAATTCGAAGTAAAGTTTAGTGATCATGACCCTTATTACTACACGTGCAGAGCCAAAGAGGCAATTTATATAAGACTTCACCCAAACAACATCAACAGGGATAGTGGAATAGAAATTCCAGAAGCGTGGATGCCCACGATCAAAAAACACAACAACAGGAGAGCCGTGCGACAGCGGACCGCCGAGGGAGCAAATCACTGAGTGAAAAAGGAAAGGATCGAAATGCACCAATCAGAGCTATTGAAAAACAACTAATCCCAGCAGAGCATCATGCTTTATAAGATCACGCATGACCAGTCGACCTCTTCGCCTCAAGAAGACTTGCAGTATGCAGTCGAAACGTCGCGATCTTCATTACACGTGACTACATCGTAAGACAAACGAAAAAACTTAGCTTTTATTGTTATTCACCATGATGAATAACCAAAACCCTTTTTACGAAATTGACTGACATTTATTTCTCCTGAATTCTAAAAGTTGTTTAAAGCTTCATCTTCAAAATTTACATTGACAATACGAATTTCTAATTCTCTGGTCGATTACACGCGTCATTATGGACCAATATTAAAAACAAATTCCCTTCTCTTTCAAATTCCTTTTTGAGTAATGAATCATATGATGAACTTCGTTTTTCCCACTACCCTCTTCCCTGAGAAAGCGTCGGTATGGTTGGGAGAATTAAGAATTTATTGTTTGGAACTAAACAGTTATAAACTAAAAGAGTTATATATATACTAAAAGTTATTAAAACTCTAGTAGTTTTTACATCTTCCTAAAGAGCATGTGGACAAAGTATGTTTTCCTTTTTCCTTTTTTTTCTTATTTTAGTTCCTTTTAATTTCATTGATGCTGACGAAAGAAATGCTAATGTCGACAAAAAGAAAATTGAATATTAGTAATTTTTTTTAGAACCCGCATCATCCACAAGCTGACTGCTTCTTGTTTCCAACTCAGTTTTCATTTGACTTTCAAATTTTGGTTTTACGAACTAATCGCCAATTTTTCCTCTCTTTTTTTGGTTATATATTAAATGTAAAACTACAATTCAAAGTGGACACTCCCATGCAGATTTTTCCATTCTGAAGTCCGAAGATCTTAATACTAAATCTTGATGTGTTTTTCTAAGCATTTGGACATTTTAACAAGTTGATTGTTTTTGATTCTCGTCAGTAGTTTACACAACATTGTAGGAATGTTTATAGAGAGAAATTAATTTTGATCAGTTTTAACGAAGTGCTATGTTTCCTTTGTTTTGACACCACTAAGAAAGTTCATTGTACAGTTCATTTTTCGGTGATATCACAGAATTTAAAGAAACTAGACGGATCGAACAACAGACTTTACGTTCCAGAGATAAATAGCGAAGAATAAATATTCCGTTAGAGCACGAAGCAAACACGTATTCATCAACAGAATCGACATATGTACCGGAAATGAAGTTATTTTGCAATACACAGAAAGAAATGCTCACCGTCTTTAAATTAACAATTTTGCTGCAAGAAGGATAAAATAATTGTCTACTAGGGGTTAAGGAGAGAGTTACAAAGCTATTACATTAAGTACCTGAATATTGACTGTCCCTTTACACTTTCAGAGCCTGATCGCATTTATCCACATAAGCAGCAGAGAATAAATACACAGAGAAGTAAAGGTTTCTACAGCTGCTATTAAGTGTTGTTTTAAATAAATTCAGAGTTAAGACGATAATTTTAATCACACGAGGAAAATAAGCTTCATCAGCCAACCGGACAACCATATGGACCATTTTTAAGAAAGGGAGGCTATTTGAATTTTTGCTTTGCAGTCAGGAACCTCCACAACACGAATTTGAAACCAACTCATTTTGTTTGTTGGCTTCAAAGGAAACTAACACTTGCAGTTATTTTTAAAAAAACTCCGATATGGATTAGACATGAATATTAATTTTGACGGCGACCTGAGAACTGACTCGGGAGAAGAAGAAGAAGAAATAAGCGATGTAGGCACAGTTAACCCATGCTGGCAGAATGCGCCTCAGCAATTATGTAGATATCTTTACGCACAGGCGTCCCGAGCTCACGTCATGAGAAAAAGGAAGCGATTGGTTCATGAAAGCGTCACGCGTTGCGTGACTCGGTGTTAAGTTACCAGAGGAAACGTTGAGAATTTAATTCGTTCGCGTCTGAAGCTTTTATAGTCATTGGCGATGTTTACCTTGCGTTATTCGCCATGAAATCCTTATAAAGTTTTTTGCAAGAAAACAAAATTGTTTTTTTACTAAAGATATTTCACTTTTCTATATGTTCAACTTCTAACAAGTTGTACTGGATTGAAGACCAACTCGCCGACGTCTCTACTCGATTTTACAGGTCGGCGAGTTGGCGTTGGCCAGTTGAACCGTCGGCGACTTGACAGTAATTCTTTGTTTTTAATCAAAACGGAATCAAGTTAAGAATAGCACTATTCCTTCGGAGGCAAATCATTAAAGTTCCACAACATAAACAATTGTTATTGTTTGGAAATAAACAGTTATAAACTAAAAGAGTTATTTACATACTAAAAGTTATCGAAACTCTAGTAGTTTTTACATCTTCCTAAAGAGCATGTGGACATAGTATTTTTTTCTTTATTCTTTTTTTTCCTTATTTTAGTTTCATTGATGCTGACGAAAGAAATGCCGTAACGTTGACAAAAAATTGAAACTAAGTAAATTTTAGAACCCGCATCATCCG